GAGTGAACGTAAGCAATGGTGGGAAGTGCTGAAATTGAAATTTGGGCTGGTGGTGGGCTGAAGTTACTCTTGCGGGTTATGGTTTGATGGGTTTTTGGAGTTGCAGTTTGCTGCTGTGGTTCCCAGGTGCCATCCGTGCCAAGGAGTCATGCAGGGATGTTGCAGCTGCATCACCTGGGTAGCGTTTTTCAGCTTGAGGATGTGTTTTTTGTGTGCTTCCTTGTTTTGTGTGTGTGTGTTTTTTTTTTAAGATCAGCTCAGCTTTGAACACAGGTAAAGTGCAATTTCATGAGTCAGTCTGAGCACCCAAAAGGCAAGAAATGTGGATTATGAAATGGAGAAGGTGCCTGTCACCTGCAGGCTCTGAGTGTGGCAGCGTCCTTGAGCGTCGCAGTGCTTGGTGCTGCCCTTGCACTTTCCCTTAGAGCTTCAGGGGGTCTTAGTGCTTTGCCTTCCCGGGCTGCCCCTGCCTCCCTGCCCGGAGTAGGGCCAGGGGATGGTTCCTATTTGGGAACCCTGTAAATCACCAGCGGCGAGGCAGTAACACGGACTGCATGGCCGACCCTTGTTAAGCAGGAGGGGGCTTGGAGCTGTGGGCAGCGTTTCCTCAGTAAAACCTTCAGTCTCTAATCAGCAAACACCTCTCGTGCTGCCTGGTTTAATTCATTCAGGTCGCATTTGCTTTCCCGCTTTATCTCCCCCCTCTCTACACACACATGCACACACATAGCCCTTTCTACCCTCTTCATACCTTCACCCCCTCTTTTATATTTATATATATATATATATATATATATGCTTTTTTCTTGCTCCTTTCCCTTTGCAGTCTTTGCCATCTCCTTACTGCTGCGTCCAGGCATGTACATGGACTTTGGCGTGTGGCGGGAAAGTGAGCTGACAGATTTTACACCCACCACCTCTGATGAAGCTCTCATTAATTTTATTCTCTTAACGGCCTCTCCTTTGATTTACTGGGCTGTCTGAAAGGGACTTGGAGCATTTGCTTCACTGACAGGAAATTGTTATTTTAACCTGACAGGAAAGAATTTAAAAAAAAAAAAATTCTTCCCCTGCTGAAGCTCTTCAGATGATCTTAACTCTTTCTTTTCCAGAGTGGCACTTGAGTGCGAGGTTTCGAGACTCGGAGTCTCCATGGCAGGAGGGAAAAGCGCTGTCAGCAGCCAGGGGTATTTCTTCGAGGACCTGCCTTGAGGAGAAAAGGTGGCAGAGCAGGCTCCTGGTGCAGGGTGGCTGGGGTGCTGCTCCATGCGCAGCTCCCTGCCCAGCAGCACTCGCTCTGGAGCGTGGTCGGAGTGCATGAGGCACCCTCTGCCTGACACCCCTGCCGCCTTTCCCCCTCTGCCAGCTCTGGGGCCGCTTGCAGGGATGCGAGGCAGATCGAAATCTGCTTGGTTATTAAAGTTCCTTGTTTTGCGCTACTTACAGACTGCTTAAGGGCAACATTTTCAAAAGGGGTCAGTTCCCATTTAGGCATCGAAATAAGTTGGTTGCCTATTCAGAAGAACTCAGCGTGTCAAGGACTGAATGCTTTTGAAAATCTGGCTTCAATTGTGGAAGCTGAGAATTTCGAAATCTGGCCCTGGATCCTAATAGTTCTTTTGGAATTGGTGTTTTCATTCATTTTCCTCATTATTTTTATGCTAGCCATTTACTTTTTGTACTTCACTCAGCTGTGAAAGAAATGGCCACATGTCCCTATTTAGAGCTCATGGTCTGCCTGGAGGGTTGAGGAGGTACCATACACTTGTTTCTACACACCTTCTCTCCCCGGTCTGTGTTCAATACTGCTTAATCTGCCTACTGCATTGGCCAAACTTTTTGATCTTTTCTTTTTTCTTTTTTTTTTTCCTTCCACCTATTGCCCTTCATCTTTTTACAGAGCTGGGGACGGCCAGTTTAGTCATTGCAGAGATATGCCTGGGTGGTCCTAACTCATAAAGGGTCCGTTACACATTTTTGCTCCTTTGCCCTCCTGGCCAGAGGTTCTGCGCTACGGAGAACTGCAGGGAGGTCTGGTTCTGGAGGGGAACGTTTTCGTCTACCCCAAGAAATGGGCTCCAAGAAACAGCTCTCTTCTCTGTCCAACATTTTTCCATCCCTCTGCCAAACTCATCCAGATAGGACGAATGAGTCAAGTTTATTCTCTAGCCTTCCAGCACTGGGAAGCAAGAATTAAATCCTACCCCAAAAAAGTTTCTTCTTCTAGTTTGGTGGACAGCTTCTATCTCCAGGGTATCTTATGATGCAAGGTGCAAACACTTTAAGTCTAAAACTTTAAGCCTAAACAAACTCAAAGTCTTTTCTAGTTCAGTTTAATTTGTGGTGCATTGGTGGTGTTGGTAGTGTGTGCTCTAGCATGGATAGAGGTCAGGCACTTTTGTTGCTGTTGTGGTTTTGGTGGTTTGCCAGAGATGGCTATAGTGTAAGGTGGACCACTGTGCTAGTTGTCTTACATAGGGAAATGAACTCTAGTAAGTTTTTTAAGTAAGTCACCTTTTAGATGCTCTTCAAGCTAATAGCTACAGGGTCTAGTCCTACTGTATGTGTTGGTTGATTGTTGGTTGATGGGGAAGAGTCTTCAAAGGCAAATTGTTGAGACTTTCTTTCCTCGTCTGGGGAGAAGAGTGATGCAGGCAACGATGAAGAGCATGGAGCTAATGGTTAGATGTCCCTACTTGAGCAGGGGGGTTGTTCTAGATGATCTCTAGAGGTCCCTTCCAACCTCAACCTTTCTATGATTCTATGGTTACCAACAGGGCTCTTCCACGTGTAGTGGGACTATGAGCTGCAGTAAGCAGAGTATAACTGTACGTAATCATTCTGGGTGTCATCAGCCTGATGCCTGAAGGAAGGGAGCTCTGTCCACGCTCCTGGCCCTGTCAAGCATGACCTGATTTACCCTGCCTCTCAGCAAGGTTTATTAGCTTGGGCTGATGGCCACGCTAGCCATAGGTACATGACTTCTGGGAAAGAGCTGGCTTGCATCTGGCCCATTCAAAAGGCACGCAGAGCGAGCTCTCATCAGCCTTCAAAACACCATGTAAAGACGTTCTTTGTGGCATTTGCAAAGCTCCAGCTGCAAGTCTGCTTTTTTGGCATCTCTTCCTTTTGCAATTCCTCCTCAAAGGTGCCTTTTCTTTTTCCCACCTCCTCTCAACTTGAAGCTAGTGTCTCCTTCATGGCTTGTCTCCAAAGCAGTGCCCTGGACACAGAGGGGCAAGGAGCCAGCTCGTGATGCTGTCAAAGGGACAGCACAGTTTGCGGACATGCACCCGAACTAACTTTCTCAGTTCCTGCTGTAGCCATGTGGAGCTCAGCAGAGCCAGCCACGGGCACTGTCCTGAACACTGTGCTCTTGGACCTTGGCTGGCACCATGACTTAGGTGAAGTCATTGGAGGGTAGCCAGGTAGATCTCCACAAGTGCTGTCGTTCCCAGCAGTAGGTTGGCCTTTGAATGACTCACCAAGCACCTCACAGAGAGTCTGTGTAGGTCCTTGCTTCACAAGTCTCTCTTTCAGAGGTTTTATCTGATGAAATTTCTCTCCCTTTTCTGGCTGAGATGGATATGGAATGGATGTGCTCAAGCCAGTGATGACTAGAACATAGTGAAAGTAGGTAATATTGCTCTGCAGGATCCAGATGCTCTTGAAGATGGTCACTGTGATTAGAAAGCTGACTCTGTGTTTGCAGAGGGAGCGGGAAAAACAACTGCTGATTGAGCTGGCTACTGTGGTAACTCTGTACTTTGGGCAATTCTGATGCCAATGTGGACACACCATGGGAGCAATTCTGAAACACCTGTAGACTTACAGGTCATTTTCTAAGGGCTGTTCCTGGAGGTAGCTGAGAATACTGTAGCTGTGTTGTGATTTCCATAGGGGGATACCTCTTCTTGCTCTCAGCCCTTCACTCTGCGCTGAGGATGAATCCCATCTTAAGTCAAAGGCATATTGGATGGTAGCTTCTGGCTCTAGCCACCTAGATTTTTAATCCTTCCTGCCCGGTTTGTCTGGTTTAGGATTCATTCATGACAGTTTCTCCAAAACAGGTGCTCAGGTGTGGAGCTCCTCACAGCAACATAGGTTGTGACAGGTGGCCTGGGGCTTCAAGATTTTTGAAGATCATTGATGTTTTCAATGTGGATCTAGTGGTTTATCCAGATAGGGCATTTCAATTCAAAATAGGCTGTGCACTTCAGGGAGAACAGTTCATTTGAATTCTTTCATACATTGGATCTCTTTATCTGAAATAGAAGTAAAGTGTGATAAGCCAATTTAGCTTAATCCAGCTTTAACACAGGGGACTGAATTTAAACAAATTTGAAATTGGTCATTTCTCTTCTCCTAAAAAGGTGTATCCTCTACTTCAGAATAATTCATTGTAGAGAAACTCTTAGATCACAGATAAGGAGTGATTTGCCTGAACTTGCACATGGGTATGCTCAAATAGTGGCATGGTCAAAGGAACATACAGAGAAAGTGGGGAATCAACTCTGTTTTCTAGGCTAAGGTTGTACTTACATCTAATTTACTTTCTTTTTAAGATAGATTGTGTTCTGCAGACGCAACCAAGAAGTGGCAGCAACACTTAGTGCTCCAGTAGTGTTTTACTGAAAGTGGTTGTTTTGCTCCTGAAAATTGTATGATATTGATTGCTGACACAATACAGGCACTTGCTTTGCTAAATCTGAAATGGTGAAAGGGAGTAGATGTGTGCGTGTGTGTGCACGAACACGTAAATTTGTACTGAGTACTGGGGATATGATGTCTTGAGAGACTAACGACCATGCTTGGGGAGATGCCAGGGAGGGAACTGCTGGTGTTGGCATCTGACATCTGTCTGAAGCCTGCTCAGCCCACGGATTTGGCGAATCCCTGGAAGTTTGAGGGATATTGTTAAAGAAGCCAGGGGAAAGCAGAGGAAGGCGAGGGTCTCATGCCATCATCTCTCTTGTCATCCACAGGAAGGTGCTGCCCCACCTCCACTGCATCCTCTGAGGCAGCTTATGGGACCCTTCCCTGGGTGCCTCTGCTCCAGAACATGCTGCATGGGATGGCAGTGACACGTGGAAGGAAGAGACCAATGTTGCCCATCCCCTGCCTGATCCTCACAGCTGCTACCTGCTTGGCCACGCTGAGTGAGTTTCCTTTGTTACTCCTCTATTCCATCTTGGTTTGTGTTTTGTGTTGAGGCAAATAAAGGCTATTAAACTCAAGACACCAGATCCCACTCCTCTCTCAAGAGCTTTGGCTTCTCCCATCTGCCTAAGAGACATTTTACAATGTCCAGCCTCACTCTGGAGGTGATTTCTCTCTCCATTCCTTTCTCTATAGCCTTGACCAAAGGTCTGGGTTCAAACATTCCCCAGAAGGATAAGGGGTTACAGCTGGAGTTAGACATCTCAGCATGACAGTGGCAAGGAGAACTGGGGCTGATGTGCATCTCCAACCATTAGGGCGGTGTGGGGGGCAAAGGGGACTGTGCAGCACAAGTTTAGGCAATGACAAATGCAAAACATATCAGCAATAGTTTTTCCCATCTTGCGTTTTGCTGAGACTCAGGATTTTCTTACTTCCTTTTCTTTCCTTGGGTGTAGGTGAATCTCTGCGCGTCACTGTCCAGCCTGCCTCCATTGTCCAAAAGCTGGGGGGCTCAGTCAGCCTCGGGTGTGTGGTGGACCCCCCCAGGGTGAACCTTACCTGGAGACTGAACGGGAAAGAGCTGGTCGGATCGGATGACGTGCTGGGCATCCACATCGAGCGAGGGAAGCTCGTCATCGCAGCTCTCAACAACCACACCGTGGGCCGCTACCAGTGCATTGCTCGTGTGCCTGAAGGAGTCATCGCCAGTGTTCCTGCAGTGGTAACCTTAGCCAGTGAGTAGTTTCAGTCTTCTGCCATCCCCTATGCTGCTCGGGCTTCCACTTGTGCATCTTGAGAGGTTCATTCAAACTCACGTGTCTGTGCTGGTGCCAAGGGAGTGCTCACTCGAGCCATTTTATAGCATTTCCTACTATAGACCAAATATTGTGTTTTTGTCTGGCCATGACTTAGGAAGTTACTCTGCATGGCAGGCTACAGACCTGTCCTGTGGTGAGTTTACAGAAACCCACAAAGAGCAGGAGCAACATCAGCTAATTTTGTGTGTGTCTGATTCCCTGACTTCGTGTTGACTGAGAAAGGGTAACTCACACCTACTGGTAGAAGGAGAACTGCCCTTGTTTTGAGTCAGAGTCTGATCCTCTGTGACTTGCTGAGTTCCTAACTGAGATCACCAAAAGGTACCTGCTGGTGCTGGTCACTAAGCCATGGCCTGGGCTGTTACCAGCCAGGGGTCAATATCTACTATCTTTTGCTGCCTGCCTGGCCTACAGAAAGCATGAGTCCCTTGCCCCACTCACCCTGTACTGCCCCAAATTCATAGTAGGGATGTTCCTACAAGAAAAAGGGAGAGTTGAGGGAGGTGGTGTCTTGTTTAAGGAGGGCTTTGAATGTATGGCGCCAGTGAAGGCAGAGGCCTGCATTGGCAGGACACTGATACAGAGCAGCAGAGTATCTAGAAGCACTTGTAATATAATTTTTATCTTTAAGGGGCAGGATGCTGTGTTTACTATAGCCACAGGGATCCCAGTGGGGCAGGCTCTCCTTTCCTGGAGGTTTGTCCTCTTTGTATTAAGTTGCAATGGCAATGGCAGGTAGCAAGGGGCCACCTTGTTTCCAAGCTACAGATTTGGGTGCTTTGATGCTGTCTCTAAGCTCATGTCCTCCTCATTGCTGCTGTCTTGTGCACACCTCAACCGAGGAGATGTGTGTACATAGTGAGGAGCATCTTAGACTGGGGAACTGCTCTTACGGGGTCAGGTTTTGGCCAGATGTTATGCTCAAATCGGAGAAAGTGATGTATTTGGATGCACCTGAGGAAGGACAACCCACGCCTGCTGGTGGAAAGATAGAGGGAGGGAAGGATGGTGGGAGGATGGTGGAAGGGGAGAATCGCCCCTCTTTGGCAGCAGAGTCTGCTGCTCTCCAAGACCTGTGCAGTTTCTGACAGCAAGTTCACGCAGAGGAGACTGCTCCCCCTGGCAGTTGCAGGGCTGTCTCCTGCCCCCTCCTCTGGCTTGGGGAGGCCTCCATCTCCCTGGAAAGGGGGAGTAGGGGGCTAAGGTTTAAAAAGTGAAGGAGTGAAGATATTTGTGTAAAGCGGAGCTGGCTTTGCTCTAAAGCCAAGAGCTATTGGCTTGTCACTGATACATTAATCAGAACTGAAATGTTTAGGCCGGGCTGGGTAGGAGGAGGAGAGGGAAAGTGAGGGAGAGTCCTGAGCTCCAGTGCAGGGCGGGAGGGGGTTGTCACCCGGCTGAATCCGTCGGGGAATTTGGCCGGAGCTCTGCACCGAGATTAAGTTTCGGAGAACACATTCCAGAGCAGAAAGGGGGCTGTGTGTGCCGGTGGCCTGGCAGAGGGAAGAAGAGGAGGGGAGAGGTGGATGGGATTACTAGGGGCATGGTTTGCATTTAGAAGAGCAGGGTGTGCTCCTCAGCCTGATCTCTTCATTCCTGGACTGAAATTCCCCCCACAGACACATGTACTCCTCCCTACCCCCAGGTTGGCCTCCTAGGACCAAGCACTGCTGTTTGGCCTATCTGAGCCCTCTGCACTGGAGTCAGTGGTAGAGGAAAGGCAGATCCTAGCGCAGGAGGTCCCACCATGTCCCTCAGGACAGATCGAAGCTCTAACCGAGTCCACTTTGATTTAAGTCCACTTTGCAGCCCACACGAGTCTCGGGAACACGAGATGGAAGCTGCTGTGAACAGGTCCGATCAGAACTGATCTGCCCTGTGATTATTTGCACCTTCACAGACCTCAGCCCTCTTCAGCCACTGAATTGTAACTAGTCCATGAAGGAGCCTCCCCTGCTACCCTGTGTGGCTCCCCTGTCTGTATAGGGGAGCCCAGTAGGCAGCAACTGTGTAGGAGCCTGGTAGGCGTCAAACACAGATTTGGGCAGTTTTGAGCAACAGAGAGCTCCAGATGGGGAAGGTTTGACAGTTGGTGAGTGGAGCGAGAGTGGGAAGCCCTAGAAAGGTGGGGGCCTGAAGGTGTAGGAGGGAGATCTCTCTTTGTGGGGCCAAGGGGAGGGAATCAAAAGAACAGGTTCATCTCAGTGAACTTTCTAAAGCAGCTCTGCGTAAGTCTGAAACAGCAGAGTAGGCAATGATCTGTAGTGGGACTGAGTTTGAGAGCAGTGGCAGCAGATGCGCCATGGGCTGCCGCTTCAGTTCCAGACCGTGTCTGCAGGGCCCTCCTCAGCGCTGGACTGGTGAGACCCTCCTCTCGGGGGAAATAGGGAAGCCCCTGGCAGGCAGGCAGGGCAGTTTACTTGCCAGATCACCTTTGGGGCTGAGAGGTGTTAAAATAAAATCGCTCTGGACGTTTTAGCCCCATCCCAAAACATCTTGGGTGGAGGGAGAGAAGTGATGCTGGGCTGTGAGTGAAACATGCTGGAGACACGAAGCATTTTCAAGGTGTTCTTTAGAAGAGGGCCAGGTTCACTAGACAAGTTGTCTTACTAGCTTTGGAGGAGGTAGCTGACATCTTATGGCTACATTTTAAGCTATTCCCCTATTTTTTTCCCCCCCCTTTGGGAGAAGTGCCCTAGAGCACCGCAGACTGTGTGCGCCGCACTCCGTGGTGGCAGCCTCATGCTTTACTGACCCTCAGCGAGCAGGTCACCTTTATCCTGCTGACAGCTGTGGCCTTGGGATGGCTTCCTGCTGCCCACGTCAACGATGCCTGTTGGCATTCCGGTTGGAGGCGTGGCTGAAACCAGCAGTCCCTTCCTCAGGCAGAGGGGAAACAGGTTATCCTATAGCCGAGGGCCCAGGGGAGCAGGGATTTGCAGAAAGGGAGGACTTCTTAAAGGAGCAGCACTTCAGCTATTACATGAGCAATTTGGAGCCCGTTCTGGGTTTTTCTGGGTGAGGAAAACGTCCCGAATCTGCCCCTTTTTGGGACGAAGCCGCGCAGAACGTGCAGCCGCTGTGGGCAGGTGGCCCCTGGGCCCTCCTCTGGCCGGGGCCTCTCTCCGCCCGACTGCCCTGCGCGCTCGGCCGGTGAGCGGCACGGAGGGCTTCGCTCGCCCCGCACACCTCCCCAGGGCCTGGCCCTGGGGCAGCAGTGAGGCCAGGAGCAGGGTGAGGGAAAGCAGAGGTGGCGCTTCCTGCGCTGCCGGCCGGGAGGAGGGAGCCGCTGCAGTGCGAGGTGAAAGGGGGATGGGGTTGGGGAGATCCTGCCATGGGGACCTGGCGGGGCAGCACGGCCGCTTCCCAGATGGAGTGAGCAGAGGCGAGAGCTGTAACCCTGAGCTGCTCCGACAGCCAAGGAGGGATTAGCAGGGAGAGCTGCCCCCGTCACCGTTTGGGCCGGAGGACCCCCCTGTCCTGGCCCTTTCCTGCTCTCCGAGGCTCTACCTTCCCTCCCTGACCTTCCCTTGCCCTTGAAGTGAAGACAACAGGGAAGAATTTCACCTTGAGGGGCTGCTTCTATTTACTATTGCTTTTTTTGTGTGTGCGTGTGTGTGTGCAAGTTATTTACGGCCTCCCGTTCGTTTAATCTGCTGCGTCTGGCCTGTCTCGTTCCTTGGCCCCGGGCCCCGGCTCGGCGGGCTTTGCTCCCCAATGACAGGAGCTCGGCCAGCCGCAGGCCTGACCCTCCTCGTGCTGCCGCTCGCTCACGGGACCACGGGATCACGCCTGTGCCCACAGCGCACGCGGACGCGGGCAGCGGCCTTTGCCTGCACTCTCTCTTTCTAATAAAGAAGGAAAGGAAAAACTTGCTGTTATCTCAGTGCAGCTGTGATGTGCAACGCTCCGCCTGCCTGCAGCGCCTGGGGACTCGCAGCCTCCCTGTGGTCAAGGATGTCGTTTAAGGACAAGGCCCCGTGTTTGTGTGTGTCTGCTGCCCTCCGGGCTGGGCGTGCGCTAAAGCAGGGCTAGGAATGAGGCAGGAGAGCCATGCAGGCTGTTGAGGAAGTGCTGGCCTGAGGATTTTGCACGTGACCACCTTTCCATACTCCCTCCCTTGGGGTTGTCCCCATCCCCAGGGTCCCCGTGGCATTGGGATGTGGCCCTGCTCTTAGAAAAGCAAGTGGACTTGCAGCACCCTCATGGCTTCCCCCATCTGCAGGTCTAACTTTAGAGAAGTCCTTCTCTGCTCCGCACCCAGTGCAGACCGGAGCTGCCCTCTCTTACCGGTCTCTTACTCTTCCTGACATCCAAAACCTGGTGGTGATTTTCCATGCCGGGAAGGCTGGTGTTGCCTGGCGGGCGCCGCTGCCGCAGGGGCCTGGCTCTGCTCTTTCTCCTGCCTCCCTGGCTCCTGGGCCCCTTTCCCCTCTTGTGGGGCTGTGCGTGTGTCTGCGCAGATCCCTGCCAGCGCTGCTGGAGCCTGTGCCTTGGCTCCGAAATCTTAATTTGGATGTGATGAATTCGGACCACCAAGGCGCACATTAATTTTCCTGATGCTCGTTTATATTTTGTTGATCGGAGAAGTATGTGTGATGTGGGCAGGCAGACACTGGGTTCTCGCCTCCTCTCCACCTCTTTCCATTTCCGTGGCTCTTACTATTTTATTCCATGATCAAGTAGAAAAAGCGAAGGAGAGAAAATAAGCAGCTGCCTCCCCCTCCCTTGCAGTAACTTTCGTTGTCGAAGGAGCAAAACGTGCTGCCAGCTTCTCACAAGTCAAGAGAGTTAACCCTCATCTGGCTTTAATACCCAGTGGAAACATGGCTCCCCTCCTCAGCCTGTCTTAAAGGATTAATCACATTTCTGAACTTCACTCTTATTCCTCCTTTTTATTATTATTTTTTAATTGAATGATGCCAAGAAATTCCAGAAGTATTAAGCATGTTCTCTGCAAATCATTTTTATGACATTGCAAAACCTCCCCTTCTCTTTTCAACCTCCTCCCTGTTCCTCAAATCTGGGCACGGGAACACTCGCTCCCCCGACGGCCCGGCAGCGTCTCCAGTCGCCGTTCGGGGAGGCTTCTGCGCCGCCTTGCCAAGAGGACTGGTTTTTATTTAAACTTTATAAAGGGTCTTGCTTTAATCAGAAAGTCTGTTTGAGAAATTTCATGTCACTTTTCCATGACTGTGGGTGGGAGAAGCTTGGAGCCAGAGTTGTCTTTTGCTCTTGGAGCGCTGCTGTATTTCCCAGAGAACAAAAACACATTTTTGTGCTCACTGGAGCTGCCAAGGGAGGGCCGTGTGGAGTCCACTCTCCACGAGCCCTTGTTTCCCCCTGCCGCTCTCCAAACTGCCCCGGGTCACAGGCACCGCGTGTTTGCCTTGGTTCGGAGGGGCGGCGGAGCTGTTGACAGCGCCTGGCCTGGCTGTGGCTGGCGAGGGATGCAGCGCGTCGCCCTGGCATGGGGTTTTGAAAAGAAAACGCGGTCTCGGCCTGACTTAGCGGCGTGCGGGACGCGGCCTGCGGCCCGCCGGCACTGCCGAGCCCCGGCGCAGCTGCGGGACTCGCTGCCGCCAGCGCAGCGCTGTCACCCGTGGCCAAGCAGACTGGTGCAGGGCGCTATACACATGCGCGAGCGGGGCTCTTTCTTCCAAGGAGGGTGGAAAAATCCCAGGCAAGGACGCGCAGTTTTTTCCATCGCAACTGCCAGCCTGTCGCTCCCCAAAACTCAGGGCCCCTTCCCTCGCGGGTGAAATCAAGCAGACCTGGCTCCAGCCTGCACTGCCATTCCCGTTTCCCAGATCAGGCCTATGAGGAAAACAACTCCCCTCACGCGGTGCCGCCAGGTGCTGCTGTGTCCGGAGGCTGCCGTGTCCGGAGGCAAGGGCAGGGACGGCGGCTTTTGAGGAGGGGGCGGCTGCGCCGCACAGGCTGGACGTGTGCTGCAGATGGAAGCCCTCAGGCGCTGCCGTGACAGCCTCTTCTGGCCCAGCAGCTGGGAGAAAAGCAGGAGGGAAGGGCAGAGGGCTGAGCTGTGGGGAGCTCGAGCCTGGGAAAACATCCCCCCCTTTCTGATGAGCTTCCCAAATGGATGTAGCCAGCAGGCAGGAGCAGGTGTGTGGT